ATATGTATTTATAATATTTATGATTATAATAACTGAAAATGACAGAATAAATCACATATATAAGTGTCAATTTAATACGCACTCAGTGCCATAAATAATGTAGAGCATTCAGCTGTCGGCCTGGCATAAGCCGACTTCTTTGTGTTTTTGTTTTGGTCGTTGACGTTCGCGGCTTCGCTTCTAGCAGCCGCACAGTTGATTGCGAGTTTTCGAGCGAGTCGGAGCGTCCGATGCAGCAGTAGCTCTCACAGCAATTTACAGTTGCATCCAGCAAAGTCTTTGGCTGTCGGCCGTTGATTCTCGCTGCATCTTTTGCACGTCTGTGTGTGTGTGTGTCTTTTTTTTTACTACTATTTTTTTGTGGTTTTCAATTCGCAAGTGCAGTGTTTGTGTGAGCAGAGTCGCAATGCCGTTCCCCATTCATCCACCGAAGCAAATGCCTTGCCCGCACTGGCAGCACTTTCCCATCAGTCCCGTGGACAGCAAGCCGTCGCCGTTTGGCAGCAGCAACGGCGGCGGTAGCGGCGGCGGCGGCCAGAAGAGCAACTCGTCCATGACAGCTGAGAAGCCACCGGAGCCGGTGTCCTATCGCTACTGTGTCCAATGCAGGGCAGCTGGCAAGGATGTGGGCGGCATCGACGAGGATTGAGGGCCATTTGTCCATGCATATCTTCTTCACACACTGGCAATGCCACGGACAACAGCAGCACCATCCTACCAACCAAGCAACCACCCACCCACCCAACCACTCATTCAGCACGCTCACCAGACACACAAAAAGAACCGAACCACAACCAAATCAAATCAATTCACATCGAGGCACATCACTCCAACCTCAAGTGCTCCAACGCTATGAGAATGGAGCGCACAATCTCGAGTGGGCCAGCGATGAGTGCAAACCCCACCATGATTATGATCACTTCCAAGTTTTTGTTTTTGTTTCTAAGACTTTGTTGTTTATAAGAATTTCACATTGTGTTGCCGACTGCTTGTCGTATCTTTTGCATTTTATTTCACGTGCCAATCATAGGAACACTCCATACAGTCATACAGTCATACATATACACACATATGTACATATACTATGTAATTTGTATACATATACATACATCTATATCTATATTTTTGAAACATTCAAAATGCCTAAGCTAAGATTTTGCTACGAAACTTATTTTTTAGACTTCAGACTATATTTGGTATAAAAAAAATAAAATAAAATAAAAACACATAAAAAACGAAAACCAAAACAAAATAAACGCACGACGCATATAAAAAACGAGTTTGTTCTACAGATACAAGCACAGATGCATGGCTACATGCATACATGTAAGTGTGTGCACGTGTATGCATGAGAGGCATGAAAGAAGTGTGCGTGTGTGTGTGTGTGTTTGTTTTCTTAAGCGGCATACATTTTTTTGGGACTTGTTTGTTTGCCTGCTGCTTCTGTTGTCGGATCGTGCGTTACGTTTTCTACTTTTTATCAGTTTTCAAGGTCAGCGGACAGAACAACAGCAGCAGCAACAGCAACAGCAACACACACACACACTCAAAACAACATTGACAACATTTAAAATTTTGAGCATACGCGCGCGATAAGCATTCGAATCGAACCGCACAGAAACATCTAGCCAGAGCTCGCATTTAATCCAGCATTTTCCATGCGTTTCGATTTGGGTCTTTCGTGTTCGTCTCTCCCTCTGGCTCTCTTGTTCGCCTCTTCGTTCTCGCTTCGATGGTCAGCAATGGGCTAATTAGCTGTTGTCGCCTGTCGCCTTTTGCCACACGCAACTGCACCAATGCAATGCAAGAGAGAATTCTCAGCTGCTTGACGAAGTTCAACAAACTGTTGAAGTGCAAAAATAAATACGCACTCTCCCACACACACGCACACACGCACTCTCAGATGTGCATGGGTGTGTGTGTGTGTGTGTGTGTGTGCGTACTTGTCGAAGAGCAAAAAATGACAAAAGTGTCTCATCTCATCCCATCCCATTCCATCTTATCAAGCAGAGAGGCAATCGAGCCCCCTACATACACACACACACACACACACATATATATATATACATATGTATGTGTAAGGAATTAATAATATAAAAGATACACATATGCATGTATGTAAATACCTACATACATGTATGTATGTATGATGTAAATGATGTAAGTATGCATATATCAACTGTTATACTTTATATTGTAGAATCTATACGTCGAATAATACATAGAAGCATATTGTACATATACATACATATAAAAATTTGTTAACCCACAATATTCCATACACATGTATGTACACATGCATACATATGTATATGTACACAGCTTACGCATATATTAACTCTTATACGGTTTAGAATCTATACGCAGAATAGCACAAATGTAAACAAATGCTCTTAGTCTGGATTTAAGGTGTTATACTACATACATACATCGGAACATAAGCATAGTTAAAGGTTGTGTATGTAGATATTGTATGAACACAATTGGTATACTACATACATCTATGTAGGTGCTATGCATAAAATACAAAATATATACATATATATATACGATTTTGAGGTATAGCACGTACATATGCATATATTAACTGTTATACGATATATGTGCATATGTATTAGATGTCTTACATAGATACATATGGAGAACGTGTATGAACATATAGTATATGTGAAGTGGTACCACATATGCACATATTATATATATCTATATAGGCATTATGTCCACATATAACTGTTATACTATTTCAAAGTTATACGACAAATAGTACTGTACCTGCACACATATATACACACTAAAAATAGAAGGAGTTATACACGTGGGTACTATACATATACATATATATATATACATATACATATATGTTATACGCACATAGACAAAGTGTTATACACATACATTTCGTGTCTCATACATTCGGACCTTATTTTAGTCTTATCGTTGGGTGTGCCGAAACTAGGGGTAATATATGTATGTATGTATGTATGTATGTAGGTAGGTAGAGTCGCTTTCTATCGTATCTCTCTCCATAGTCACAAACATAAATACATTCCATCGTATCTTTATTAACAGCACAAATGCAAACATATCCGACATACGTACATACATCTATAAGTATATGTATATATGTTTGTGTGTGCATATACTGATATTACGACGAATCGCTAAGTATTGCCATAATTAAAAGTAGAATAAAAAGACGAAGCAGAAGCAGAGGTAGGCATAATCATTCTTTTGGCAGGCATATAAACAAGCAATCTAATTAATTGAATAAACTATGTTAGCTACTTGGCTAACACATACACGCACACAAATATACATATGCCCAAACATACATATATGTATGTATGTCTGTAGGCGTAATAAGCAAACAATTCCCATGTGGTATATCTAGGGTTCAAGCGGGGGCGTGGCAAACGCTTTGATATCTCAAAACGCAAAGAACTAGTACGAATGTATAAGAAAACTACAATATATCTTTGTTTTACTTCTGGTGGTTCCAGTTGTATCATTCTTTATCTATATTATGTATATGCATCCACTTAAGCGTGACCAATCATAGAGTTTCTACCCAATCTAGCTACCCTTACACCAACTACACCATTGTAAGCCATTCTGTTTCTAAATAGATTCTGGATTCAGTCCAAGCTCAATTTCCCTATCGCCCACATCCCACAGCTGTGGGCAGTCTGGCGCCAAGCTAATCGCCCTGCCCGTCATGGATATGCAGGTAAAGCGAAGAGATAACAACGTTCGAGTTCGGATTGCCATAAACCAGGCACGACTTGAGTCGTGATCGGCATATATAAAGCCTCAAGCGATCCCAAACTGTCCACAGAGGGCAGCTTATCTAAAACCTGCTCATAATTGGATGGATCAGCAGCAGAATTTTCAAGACGTAAATTGATTATGTAGAAATCGAAGTCGAAATAAATAAATAATTATAATGATAATAAAAATAAATAAATAAATAGCTGTTCATATAGCAAATATATTCATTATTTGAATTTTGTTAAAAATCGAAAATGATTATAAAATACATATATAATCAACTTTATTCATATTTATATAAATGAATTTGCAAAAGATAACAAAAAACTCTTATTACAAAATAAAAAATAAAAATAACAATATAAACGTATAATAGTAATAAAAAAAAATCTTTAATAATTATTTCATGAAAAATTTAACATAGTAAATTGATGGATAAATCAGCAGCATGAATTACATATATTACTTAGCTCAATTTAAATAATGTGCACAAAGTGTGCATTTATAAAATCCGCTATTAAAAACAGTAATTCAAGAATATTTGCATTGAATAAGACAAGAATATCGTAAAAAGAAACCTTGAAATTTGTGGCTTGTTTTATAAATTCGAATATATTATTCATATATTCATATTCATACAACTCGTCTTAATGGCCGAGGCCTTGGCTTTTAAAAATGGAAAAAATATATAAATTTTTTTAAAATGTGCTTAAAAGTAAATTTATGTCCATTAATGGAACGCCAAAATATATATTTTATATATGCAATTAAGAATGTCTTTTCTTTTACTTAACAATAAAATTTGTACTTTAATTAATAATTATAATTAAACATATAAAAAATCCACTACATAGACTAACAAAAAGTAGTTTTATTTTCTTATCAGTTTCAGATAACCGATGTGCAAATCTTATAAGAATTGATCACAAACTTTATTTACACAGTATGTAAATATGTAAATGACCGTGTATATTTATAAAATTGTAATATTTGATCGAATTTTTTTATAACAAATTCATATATAATACCTCATTCCATTAGAAAATATAACAACAAACTTGTTGAAATTATTTCCAATTCAAATCCCAATCAAATTGGATTTTCCTATTGGAATTCAAATGCAAAACAGTCTGGCAGCACTGCCGGCGAGGAATGAAAAGAACAAGACAATGAGAACACAGCGCGGGAAGTGGAATCGGAACCGGTAAAACTATCGTTGGCACTGGACAAAGCTGCTGGAACGAGTGGTTCGCAATGAACAACATCGCTACATCGGTTCATTTATTCGATGCTGCGAGAAATGAAGCCGATTTTGAAAAGTTAACTTGAACAGACCGAGAACAGCGCCCACACACCCACCCAAACGGCTGCCACGCAGTTGCCAATGCAAGCAGCTGCAATATCGCAACAAGTATTTGGCCCAACAACTGTTGCGAAGCGTGACCGTGCAATATGGATTATCAGTACTACGACGACGAGGCGGACTACGCGGACGAGGAGGACGGCCTCGGGGCCGGCGGCGGTGGCCATGCGAATGCCTACATCGATCACGAGGACTTCGAACAGCTGAGGGGCCATGAATACAGCGATGACAACTACGGCAGCGTCATGGACCGCCTGCTGGACAGCTATGAGCACTGCATCCTGCCCTCGCTCACCCAGGTGGCGGGCTACATTGTGCCGCTGCTGCTGGGCTGCCTGCTGTGCCGGCTGCTGAGCGCCGTCTATGCGCGACGGGCACGCCTCGTGGCCAGCGCCAGCTCCAGCTGGCAGGAGGCGAACAGCATGAAGCTGGCGCCGCTGCATCTCATCAATGCGCTCTGCGGCGCCGGCATCCTCTATGCCACGCTGGGCCAGCGCATGCTAATCCTGCAACTGCTCACCGGCATTAGCTATGCGCTGCTCCAGCTGGTGCGCCTGGGCAAGGGACGACGCCCCGCCGTGGCCCTAGCCGTGCTCAGCATCGGCAGCCAGTTCATCTACGAGCTGGCCATCTGGCAGAAGCGCGACGACTGGCCCCAGCTGCGCGGCCTCCAGATGGTGACCAACATGAAGGTGATCTCGCTGGCCTTCGACCTGACCGCGACGGGCGCCGCCGGCCTCCACATGCCCAACATAGTCGCCTACTTCGGCTACATCCTCCATCCGGCCACCTGTGCGCTGGGGCCCTGGCTGAGCTATGCCCGCTACTTGGAGGTGCTGCACAGCAAATCCCAGCTGCGACGCAATCTCTGCCAGATGCTGCTCAATGTGCTGCTCAGCCTGGTGGCGCTGCTCGTCAGCAATTGCATTGCGCCCACGCTGAGCGAGCTGAATGCTCCGGCCGAGCCGCTGGGGGCCCACCAGGGTGGCTGGAGCCACTGGCTGCTCATGTACACCGGCGCCCTGAGCGTGCGCACCAGCCACTACTTTGTCAGCCTGCTCAGCCAGGCGCAGCTGGCCGCCGTCGGGCAGCGAC